TTAAAAAAAAAAAAAAAAGCCCACTGCCAGCAAACAATAAAACATGTTAAGAGAGCCAGCCAGATGTGGCCTGTGGGACACGAGGTTGAGAACAGTGGAAGAGGCCCGAGTCTTAGAGTCATAGGCCTTGGTTGGAATTTTCAGTTCACATTTCAGGCCCATCACTTGCTGTCTCTGAACCTCAATTTCTCCATGTGTACTTTGGGTCCAAAGCCAACTTCAGAGGTGTTGAGGGTGACTGGAAGAGTCTGTGTCCAGCACCCAGTACGGCTGTGGCGAGAGGTAGGCCCCAGCTCTCAGAACTCAATAGCAACCTCAAGCTACCACTTTTCATTGCCTGGCCTGTTTTCTCTCTGGTTTACCCAGCCTTGTTTCCATCTGGCCTAGCTGCAGGAAGGTGGTGCAGGAGGAAGGGGCTGTCTTCTAGAGCGGAAGCAGGGCTGGGTCCCTCGATGGGCTCCCTGACCTAAGTTGCCTGGAGGAGGAAGTATTGCAGGCACCCATTGGGAAACCTACTAGCAGCCCTCCTGCAACCTGCACCCAACATATTCCAGTCATTTCTCCACTGTGAGTGACCCCCATACCCAACCCAAGCAAGGCTTCCTTGCAAGGGGAACTCCTCCCCCACCCTCACGGGTCCCTCACCAAACCCTCCATCTGCCTGCCTCCCCCAACAGTTACTTCCTCCTCTCCCTCCTCCCAGCCACATTAAGGCAGCAGCCGAGTCACATGCAAATATCCTGTCCTGGAACTGCCACCAGAGTCAGTGGGGCTCCTCCCCACCTTAGCTTGGTTCCCTAGCAGCGCCTCTGGGCATCAGGAAAGGAAGGACTAAACAAGGGGCTCACACCCCCAGGGCGGTCTCACTTCATCCTCAGAGCAGTTCTGCCTGACCTGGCCCAATTTCATGAGGAAACCGAGGCCCTAGAATGAAACAATTTGTCCAAGATCACAAGACCTGGAGGTGCCAGAGGTAGGATTTGAACCCAATGCCCTGAGACCACAACCCAAGCTCTTTTCCCATCCCAAATATGCCAGGCATCTATTAGGCATCAAATGAATACATATGACAAGGGTTCCCAACTGCTTAGGGCCTCAGATCACTTAGAAAGCTGGAGAAAGCCCAGCCCCAAACTGTCAGCCAGCTCACGAAGGGATTCAGATGCATGGGCCAGGGTTCAGGATTCAGTGACAATCACAATTTCCTTTAGTTTTCACGTCCTATCCCCAACCATTCCACAAAAAGGGTTACTAAAGTTCAGAGAAAAGACACTTGTCTAGAGCCACGCAGGTGGAGGGATAGGGCCAGGTGGGGTAAGGGTTCTCCAGCGGAGGTACTTCCCCAGTCTCACCATACCATCCTACGCCTCATCCATGGCCTTGAGAGGCCTGAACTGGCTACAGCCCTAGGAGAGAAGCCTGGGCAGGCTCTCCTCACCCCTCCTCCCTGGCTGGCTGGATGACGAGGCAGAACAGAATCGGCAGATGCCCCCAGAGGCTGGGAGGAAGGCCCAGCCCCGGACTCAGACTTGGACTCAATAAGAAACAAGAGATAAGGAAGGCTCTGGGCACTAAGGACCCAGCCTACTATGGCCATTTCCAGGCAGCACCTCTCTGGAGTCGACGCGCACTGGGCAGGCAGAGGGCACCAAATGCTGTGCTAAATGGGAGATCTTCTGGGCTTCCTACAGACTGTATTGGGGGCATCCTGTGTCCTGTGCCTGGGTCAACCACAGTCTCATAATGTGACCTGTGGGCTAGTCCCTGGACTGAGCCTGTTTCCCACCTGTAAAATAGGCAGAATGGCGAAGCAGATGACTTTCAGCCTGGAAGCTTACTAAAGAGCGGAAAAACTGTCATGACCTCCCTGCCTTAGAGGTCCAAAAAAGAGAGGTCTTGTTCACTGCTGGTCGCCAGCACCCTGGACAGGACACAGCACAGAGTGACTGTTTGGTGATTACGTTACCAAGGTAGACAATAGCAGCTAAAGGACAGACTGACCATAAGGCAGTGAGAACCAGGTCGGGTCCTTCTGTGTCCCCCAAAGATGCTCTGGAGCAGGTGCCTGCTAACATGTGGGTGGGAGCCATGAGGAACTCGGCACACACTTGGTTCACCAGACCAGCTCTGCCAGCCCAGCATGCTCTCTTCCTTCAAAGTTGGCTCCCACTTATTTCTGTGCCCGTTGGCCCCACTAGACCATGGGCTTCCTGAGGGCAAAAATGGTGACCCATTCCTCTGTCTCTAGTGTCATAAGGCACCGAAGGAGTGGCAGTCGTGTTGGTAGCATATGTGACCAGTAGTTTCCCCGAGTCTGGCGGCCGTTCATTCATTCTCCAAACCTTTACCTTGCACCAAGTTTGTGCCGGTCCAGGCTGTTCGCTAGGGTCCGGGCCCTGGGCACGTGGGGGTAGGCTGACCTTTCCCGGGGCATCTTCTCACCGCTCAGCTGGGAGAGGCCTCAGAGAGGCTTTCTCGGGTCTCAGGGCCCACCCTTCCCTCTTCCTTCCTCTCTCCTTCCTTCACCCGTCATCCTCCCCCCGCCGCGAGGGCGGCGGCCTGACCCCCGCCCTTTCCTGGGCCCCGGCTCCCCGGGGCAGGTGCGGAGGAGGAGGACGCCGTGCCGGAAGGGCTGGTGTCTACGCGGGGTGCCTGGCGCGGAGCGCGCTGCCCTAGGGGGTCGGGCAGCTAAGGCACCCCACGGAGCTCGGAGGCCGCGCTCTCAGCGTTCTTCGCACCTCACCGCCCTCTTGGCCGCCTCACCTTCCCGGGCCTTGAGTAGCACCGTGTTCGCTACGATGTTCTCGAGCTCCATGGGCTGCGGCGCCGCCGGGCCGCGCCACCGGCCGGGAT